ACCTAAGGACAAGCAGTCCAAGGTGACAAGAAGAGCTCTCCTGCCCCCCTCTCCCCACAGTGGGGCTGGCACTCCAGTCCTAGGGGCTTTCTCAGAGCCCTGCAAGGGCTCCTGTAACAGGCGTGCCTTGAGGCAGAAAGTGCCAATTCAGTCTCCTGTCACAGCCCCCACCCAAACACTTGATCAGCTTTGCTTCTCTTCGGCCGTATTAGTCTGGACTGGACAAGGTCTAGGATGCATCATGGTTCTGGGTGTGCATAGGAGACTGGAAAAGAAAAGGGGGTAAGGACGAGAACGACCACCTATTGACTCCTGTGGGCCAGATCCTGGGGAGGCGCTCAGTCTGCGCAATCTGATTTAAGGCTCACAGCAGCACTTGGAGTAGATACTATTGTTGTCATTCCACTGAGTCTTCATGAGGTCCAGTGACTTGCCCAAGGTCCCGTGCGTGGGAGATTGTGGGTGGGAGACTGATTCCAGCTGTGTCTGGCTGCAAACATATGATGCCTAGCTGTCATAAGCAGGCTGCCCTAGTGTGTGCTGGATGCTGCCTAATGAAAGCTTCAGGCTCGGGGTAACCTCTGGGCAGGGTGTTGGGAGAGCGCCCAGTTGTGTGGATGGAGCTTTAACAAGCCAATCAAAGCATTCCTAAAGGCACCAGTCAAATTCCCCAGAGACCCTGGAGGGTCAGGCTGCCCCAACCCTGACCTCTGCAACCTCCTCCCACCTGCTCCCAGGCAGGGATTTCTCATGGCTCCTTGCTGACTCGTGCTGCCTGCCTACCCCACACCCAACCCCAAGCCCCCAGGTCAGAGCTGGTGAAGGGCTGGCTTTGTGCTCAGTTGCTCAATAATCTGTGAAGAGGTAAATGCATTTCCAAGTCTTGCCCTGGATCCAACCAGGACTCACCAGCATGGGTTTTAATCACATCTGTGTGATTTGTACATGCTGGGCAGAGGCCTGGGGGTAGGCTGGGAGCTTCAAGTTAAACTTTTCTAGACTAATAACTGTTCCTCCCATTACAACTTGCTGCCCTCGCCTTCCCCTGCCGGCCCCCCAGGACTTCCCCCACAACCCCCTTCCCTGGCTTTCCTCTCTCTTTCACTCAGGCTGACATCACGCTCACATTTTCCAAAAATTCCCCAAATTACCCACAGTCTTCTTAGCTCCTGCTGTCGTCTGGAATTACACATCCTAGACGCTGCCCCCTGTCATTCCCTCCCCCCAGCCCCCTGAGCATCAGGACTGCCCAGCTCTGGCTCCTGGCTGGCCTGGGTCCTCCAGGTCGGCCCGGCCTGGCCATGAGGCAGCAGGGTGGGGTCTGAGCCCCTCTGGAAATCTTCCCCGCACCTGGTCCAGGAGCAAAGGGATTGCTGGAAGAAGTTTAGCAGTGGCTGTGTGTGTGTGTGTGTGTGTGTGTGTGTGTGTGTGTGAGAGAGAGAGAGAGAGAGAGAGAGAGAAGGGGCAGGCTGGCTCTGAGAAATCCCATTATGGGGGTGGGGGGGCTGGGTCTTGCTAAAGCCCTGATAGGTGAGATTGGAAAGCCCATTTTTCCATGGGAAAAGCCCAGGCTTGGGAGTCAGAAGACCTGAGTTTAAGCTGTGGTTCTGCCACTAAGGGGTGCTTCCCTCTCACTCTGCTCAGGTAGCCTCCTCGCCTCAGTGTTCACCTCTGCTACTTGGGACTTTGTGCATTTTCCCAAATAAGGCAGAGGCAGCACTTCCATTCCCACATGTGCTTCCAGAACTTTGCCACTTTCCTTTGTGAGGCAGAGTCTATGTCCCCTCCCTTTGAACTTGGACAGGTCTCTGTGACTGCTTCAACAAATCAAATGTGTCAGGATGACACTGGAGTTCCTAGGCTAGGTCATAAAAGTCATCTCTCCCTGTCTCTCTCTTTCTCCACGTGGAACTCAGCCACTACACTGTGAGGAAGCCCAGGCCACTACGTCCTGGCTGGGAGTCCCAGCTGAGATCTCAGGACAGCCAGCACCGATGGCCTGACCTAGCAGTGGGGACAACCTTTGGACGGTTCTGACCCTCTGCCTTCAAGCTGCCTCAGCTGGTGCCGAATGCAGCCGAGAGGAAGGGCTTCCCCACTGAGTTCTGCACAAATTGCAGATTTGTGAATTAGAGGAATGTTATTGCTTTAAGTCACTAAGTTTTGGGGTGGTTTGTTACACAGCACCAGATATGTGCAACTCGGTCATAATGGTATGCCCCACAAGAATTGTGAGGGTTACAGGAAGAGAGCCCAGAGGCAGTGCCTTATGGAGCCTGTATAATATGACAGTGTCATCCTCATTGCTGTCAAAGAGCCCCAACGTGTGTGTTCAAGACATCATGTGTTTGTCTGTAATGCAGCAAGAGCTGGGTCGTTAGATGGTCCCACACATCATTCCCTTAATCCTTACAGCTTGGTGCCCCATAACCTCCTTCCTCCAGCTCACCCAGGCCGGAAGTGGTTGTCGTAAGGATTAACATAGGTGGGTATTGTTTTCACCAGTTCGGAAATAAATAGAGACATGGCTAGTTTAAATCTGGGTGGAACTGGAATTTAGATCCTGGTCTGGCTTACTACAAAGTTTTTGCTCCTCGTTCTCTAGGAACTAGAGCAGGGACAGTCACCCAAGGAAAATGGGGACATGGGTATTTCAATAGGTCCTGGTTTGGGAAGATCTTCTTCCCACTCGCTTTACTTAATTTAACTTTTATTCTAACAAACATGTATTGAGCACCTATAATGAGTCAGCGTGTTAGGTAGACCCTGGATGCACAAGACCACAGCCCCTTCCTAGAGGAGCTTTTGGTTTCTGAGGGAAATGGATCCTCCCTTACAGCCTTGGGCAAGCTTCTTACCATCTCTCAGTCTCGGTTTTGCCATCTGTACAATGGGAATGATTATTGAATGCACCTCATAAAGTTAGTGTGAGAATTATACAAGGTATTATTTGACGTAAGGCACCATGTACATAGATAGAACTCAATAAATATTAGTTTTTATAAGTATGCAAAGAAAGGTTACGATATAATGTGATATATGCCGAAACAGAGGGCGGTGTAAGTCGTTATGAAAGGAGAGAATAGTAAGTAGTTAGCTCCTCCTGGACTGGGGGGTTGTAGGGGGGTAGCCCAGAGGAGCTGACTTGTATCCTGGGACCTCAAAGGCAAGTGGAAGTAGCAGTGACCTGTGGAAGGACAGTGCTCGCTATGCCTGGGAAGCAGAGCAGCACAGGGTCCTGAGGGAGTGAGTTGAGGCAGGTTGGAAGGGAAGTCACTATCAGGCTGTATGTAGCGCTGGCCAACTGTCTCCGGACTCAGGCCGAAGACTCCCCACTCAGGCTTGGAGATGAGGCTTTAAGGGGCAAATGCCCAGGAGGAGGACCCCGGGCTCCAAGTTGGACAAGTTTTGAAGGCTGAAAGAGTTGGAGAGAACAGTGAGAGCCCAGGGTACCTAGCTCTGGGCCAGAGAGCTCAAAGGGAGGTTGGTGTTCCAAAGAGAAACCTTTGCCCCTGTCAAAAACCTGCTTGGGGTGAGTCCTGACTCTCAGCTAACCAGATCAACAGACTCTGTTCTTGCCAACAAACCGCCAAGCTAGAAATGCCCCAGAAATGTCACTGCAGATCAGTAAGTGGCTACTTGGGGAAATTCACTGCAGGGGGCCCGAGGCCTGAGGGTCTACAAGGGGCTTCCTGGCTGGTACATCTGGCCCCAGGGAGAGGAGCCTCCAGAGGAGCCTTGGGCAGGCCGTGGGCTCTGAGTGTATGGAGAACAGCTGCTTTGGTTTAAATATTAATAACGCAAAATGAAATATGTGTGGTGCCCAGTGCACCAGAGCCCAGCCAGTGTGCGTTGCATCTAATGTCCTGCGTACTTGGGTTTGGAAAAATGTGGTCAGTGAATTTAATATACTTTTTGGCAAAGGGAAAACGACAGTTAACTTCTCTCCGGAGCCTCACTAAAGTGGCTTTTCTCCCTGGAAAGCCAGGAGGGAGAGTGGTTTTGCCCCGTACGCCAGCAGGCCTGCTGCCCAAGTTCTGTCAGAGCCCCTCTGCTCTGCCCACCTTGACACTTGCAGGGGATGCTGGGGGGCTACAGAGCATCCTGTCTCGGGGCCGGGGGATAGACAGGAAGCCGTTCAAGATCCAGTGGGGACCGGTGGGGTTGAAACCCCAGTCCTGTTTGCTGGGGCTCCTCTCTCCAGATGTTCTCTCCCTGTGTCGTGCCCCCTTCTTGGGTCACTACCCCACCCTACCCCACTCCTGTCCATCAGGGGAGCTCATCGGGAGAAGGTCGTTGCCCCAGGGCTCTCACAGGGTCCCTGAGTTTGACAACTGATCCAAGGTCTCCAAGGGCCAGTGCTTCGCTTCCCTCGATGCTACGGAGTTTTTTAAGTCCTCGGGAGGTTCTGACAAGGCTGATATCAAGAAAGGTTTCCCTTGCACGGCGCCCCTGTACCCGCTGTCACCAGGGCCTCGGTGGGCCTGTTCCCCTTCTCCAGTGTCTCAGACTCCAGCTTCTCTCTTGCCAAATGCCACAGCTTTCAATTGGCCTCTTGAAAAGTTAATAAATGCTCAGTGACATCACAGCCCCAGAGCCGGGGAGCAAGAAAGATTCCGAGGCCAGTGTTTCTGAGGAGAAGTCAGAGGCTCTGGGTTCACCCAACAAAGGCGCCCTGTGTGAGCGTGGTCAGGGTGAAGGCCACTGCCACCACAGAACAGCAACAAAGCTGGCCCGCTTTCCCCAAAGTCTACCCCTGACTGTATACAACTTGATCACGTTCCCAGTTAGAGGCCTGAGCAAATCAAGAGCCCGACAGTGGCCCGCTCTGGGGGGCCTCCCAGGCTGCTGGAGAAACAGTCGCACCAGGGCCCCCGGGGGGCACAGGCGTGGGCTCCAGGCAAGAGAGAAGCAGCCCCGCCTGGGAGAGGGTGGGAGCTGCAGTCACCCCAGCGCTGGGGCTCCAGCTGTGCCCCAGGCCCCAGCTCCCCCCAGCTCACCCCGCTTGGCGTCCGGCCCTTGGGGAAGCTGAGAGAAAGTCTCGCCTGTTCTGGATGCCGCAGGCAGGATCGGCCACAGTGATCTCCTTCATGTGTCACTGCTGGCTGTAAGCGCTGTGTTTGGTTTGGCAAAACGGCTATTTAAATAGCAGTGAAATGTGTCACTGGAAAAAAATTAGCTCATGTTTCCTTTGCCATTTCTTCATGATTTCCATTAAAAGTGTAACCACGGGTAATAAATTAACAAGATCTGTAAAAGCGACCATAGGAAACCATGGATCCAGAATTCTTATAAACTTCTAACCCGTGATGCTAAAAAGTGAGGCTACTTGGGGGAGGGGTCTTGGATCCCCCATACTTCAGTTTTCTTTGTGTCTGATTGCTACTCCCTGCCCCTCAAAACGGGAGAGGAAGCCCTCCACATCTTTCAAGGGCTGCTGCGGCTCTGGAGTAGGGGTGGGGGGAGTCTTCCTTTGGAAAACCCAGAGCCTTGGGGCACTGCTTTGCTTGTCCTGTTTCATTAAAAAAAAAAAAGACAAGAAAAACAACTAAAAAGTGACTTCTCTTAACAAAGTGTAATCTCCCGTCATGAAGTTGTACCTCATCTGGTCCAAACCACAGTCCTGTTGTTGAATTTGCAGCTCCTTGAGGAAATCACACAGTTTCCCGTGGGTACAGGATATGGCCCGATGTCGAATTATAGCTGAGTTCCTCAGCGAGGGACACTGAGGTCAAAGGGAAATGTTTGCCTTCGGCACAAAATCCAATAATCAGTGGATGGATAGGAGCAGCGCTTTCTGATCGCTGCCATTTCCAACACACACACACACACACACACACACACACGCTTGTTTGTGTGTGTTGGGCTGGGGAGCAAAGAATCCCTGTAGGGTCCTGAACGTCTCTCTGGAGACCGTCCGGTAAAAAAGCTGCTCCCCAGGAAGGCAGCCCATTTGGTTTGACACATATGAGCTATGACGGTGCCAATGCTTCACCCAAGGACGGGAGGGTGGGGGACTGGGCCGAGGGAGTGTGTTCACACAGAGCTGGGGCAAAGGACAAGGAGAGTGTGTTGTTGTTACCCAGGGCCAGAGGAGTGGGCAGAGGACTGGGGGAGTGTGGTTAGCATCACTCACGTGGCTGGTGAGGCCGGTGAGTGGCGAGGACTGAGGGAGTGTGTGGAGTGTTACACATGGGCTGTGTGAGCCAGGAAGCACTCGGGGACCCAAAGCTGCAGCACCGGGGGAGAAGACTGACGGTACCGTTCAGTGCTGCTGACAGGTAGGTCTGGGAGAGTGGAGAACAGAGTCAGGGTAGAGGGACTGCAGGGAACGAGGTGGTAACCAGTGACGTCCTTTTGCCTCAGGTCCTCTGTCCTGTCCTTCCTCAATTATCCCTTTCACAAGTGTCTCAGCCCCCCTTTCTTAGTCTGTGACTAATAGGGGACTGCCCCTTGGTCTCTTGTTAGATGCAAGATGGGGTGCAAAGGGGGATTTTGTGCCATTTTCTAAGCCCCAGGACATGCCAGCTTCAGGATATCCTTTGTCCCCTGAGCCCGGCTCCTTTGCATATTAACCCATGGGGGTAAGAAGGAGGCCATCTCTTGTTTTTCTCAGGACAGTCCCTTTTCCTGGAAGGCAATGGTGTGGAATGTGGAGGCTCAGAATTCCCTTTGTTACAATAGAATTAAAGAGGGACTTGGCATCAACTCTTCCTCACCGATTTACATTAAGACCTTGTTTTGCTTTCCTTTGGGGTGGGGTAGGCAGCAAAACTAGGCTTCATAAACTGACTTTTGTCTTTGTCAACAATTTATTTAGCACAGTTTCACTGTGGGAATTATAATTTCACAAGCCAATAGCATACAAGATAGTATCTCTTAATAGGCAAAATAAAGAAATAACATACTCCAAACAAATGACACATTAGTCACACTAGCTTTCCAAGCAAAGGGAGATAAAGGAATAAAGTCCAAGTTTAATATGAGGTATACACTTTTATATGAGTAGGCCCTCATGAGAGAGGGTGACCAACCAAGAGCTCATTTCCAGCTTCCGGAACAAAAGTAAAAGTCCCCCGTTGCTAGAGTGTGTTGCTAGGGAATGAAGACTTGGGTGGCGTAGGAAGGCAGGCTGACTTCCTTCTGGGGCTGCTGTGAGGCTTTCAGCTACTGCTTATAGAGAATAACCCTTACCATGGGGGCAACTAATGCCACAGGGGACTTTGGAGAGTTTTTAGGTGAGGGGAGAGTTGCCTCACCCAAACAGAAACTCTCAAATAGTCCTTACAAACTCTCAGTATTTATAGTCTACATGTCTGTGTCTCCACATGCTCTTATCCACAAGCCCACAGGGGCCCCTCAGCATGTAAACAGAGTGTTCGTCAAGGTCAAGGATGAGATGATGACATCCTGACGCCACTTACTCCACCCTTATAGCAAAATGATTTTACTTCTAAAAACAACTTTTTTGGATCTTTGTCGTAAACAAGTAGATTAAAACAGCTTCACTTTAGGCATAAACAGGCAGATTTGAAATCGTATTTAACCAATACACAACAGACCTCTCTCCTCCTCTTCCTCCTCTTGCCCCCCAGTCCCCACACCTTTCATCCTGTCCACACAGACCTCATCTGCTGCTGGCACCTTTTCTCCCGGGGGCCTGGGGCTCTCTTTGCTCATTGTTCTCTGGGAAGTCCAGGTGCCTAGGTCCTTGATAAGGGAAATGGTATGCAGCCCTCCCCAACCCCTTGTGGGGACCTGGACTGTAGAGAGAGGGTCCTTCTCCGATAGCTGGAGGCTGAGGCTTCTGCCAAGGCACCTGCTATAACAAAGAAGAAACATCTGCTTGTTTTGTTTACATCTCATCCAGATGTTTGGGTGCCATGCAGATGCAGCTTGTGGGGCGTCTGAACGCTGTGGCTGAAAACTGAGCTAGGAGGCCAAGAGAGAGGGCCTCCGAGCAGAAAAGGGATGGGGCCGGGAGGCAGATGCTGCTTGGGGGAGGGAAGGAGGCAGGAAGGGGAGACATGGAACTGGGGGCGGATCACAGCCGCGGCAACAACTGGAACAAGATTCTCCATAAACATTGGATCTGTTTACAAAGCTATGAGTGTTGGGAAGCACTTGCCAAATTGTGATTTTAAAAAATTGTCCTTTATAGTGTTTCACACCACTTACCAGATGCTGAGCAAGAGCCTACTGTGTGCTCCGCAGGCCCGCCCAGGCCGCCTGCTGGGCCCTTTCCAGCTCTCTGCACACCCATGTCCTTGGCTGTGACACACGAAAAGTGCTGGTCCCGAGGCTCCAGCTGAGAAGACCAATTAACAGTGCTGGGCAGTGAGCATAAATCACCACGCTCCCCCTTTTCCTGGGCTCGGGGCTGGAAAGTATCAAGACTGTGCAAATACTTGGGATGTTTCTCTTTATTAGTGATAAAATATTGGACGTCAGCATGTGCCGTTCCATGCACTGCCTCCGACAGTCGGAGCAGTAATTGTGATGAATGGGGGTCCAGGGGCAGGGCTGCAGGCGTTTAAGAAGGCTCTGTGGATTGAAAATATTAGGACTGATTAAAGGTCAAATACTTTATAAATTTATCAGGGCTGGATACGTTCTTTGGAGGCGGGGGCTCCCCTTCCAGCCTGTGGAAAAAGAACTGGGCACGGTCCAGGGCCCACCCTGCGCCCCCCCTCAGGCTCTGCCACATTTACCCTACAACGCTGATGAAACCGGCAGATGTTTCCCTGTGATTCGTGCCCTTTTGCATCTCTTGCCAGGAGAGACAGTTCAGCACAGACATCTGCGGGTAGGAGTCTGCCCATTTCTCACTGGAGGGAGAGAGGAGAAACTTCGCTCAGACTGCAGGATTAAATCAGCTGGTGGGATGCTAGTCAGGGCCCTGACCTTTGCTAGTGGAGGCAGGGGCCACAGGGACCTGCTGTCGGGAATAGTTGGCTCTCTAACCCACCCATGGAGCCCTCCAGGTAAGAACCGGAGGCTGTGTGTCCATCCTGCTCCTTCCAGGAGGGTCTGACTTCCTGTAGTGGATGAAGAGACCTTTGTAACTCTTTCCCTGCCAGGAAAGTACAGGGTGAGCCTCTGTGAATCCCGGTGGCAGCCCTCACCCCCTCCTTGTGATGAAGTCCATTTATTGAACAAATATGTATCGAGGCAGAAGCCACTCTGGTGGGGGGGCAGGGGGTGAAACAGGGCAAAATAGATGGAAAAAAGCCCAGCCTCCATGAGCTTATATTCTAGGGAGGAGCAGGAAAATAAATATAAAAACTTATAAATGATATATTAAATGGTAATAAGAACTAAGGAAAAAAATAGAGGAGAGGAAGTAGGGAGGGCCAGTGGAGTGGAGGAGGGGGGCATTTTGGAACTGGTCAGGAAGGGGTCCCCGGGAGCTGCAGGAGCAGGCGTAGGTACTGGGGAAGACTGTGGACCTGAAAACATGCACGATTGTGCTAGCGCCTGAGTATTTTAGCACTGGCAGTCCTTCTCCCTTCCTTCTGGAGGAAGGAATTGAATGTGGTATAAATAAAACCACATGCAGAAGATGAGTGAGGTAGAAGAGAACCTGTCCTGAGAGACAGTTCAAAAATCCTAGACCAAGGATTTGCGGCCTTTTTCATTTCATGGCACACCTAAACTAATTACTGAAATTCTGCAGCACACCAAAAAATACATATTTTTTTGCTGGTCTGTCCAAAAATAGGTATAATTTTGATTTATTCACACTGGAGTGCTATTGTTGTGTTGGCTGTGGTCATTTTTTAATTTGCCAGTCTAAGGAAAAGAAGTCAGTGCCCCTGACTAAACGGTCAGGTACTGTGTGGTTTGACAAGTTTGACAAGTCATGTGGCACACTGGTTGAAAATCACTGCCCTAGGCTAATGGCTTGCCTCTGAATCATGTGGAGGGTTTATCAAAACACACAGTGCTGGATGTCACCTCCAGAGTGTCCGTTCAGTTGGGGTCTGAGACTTCACAACTCTTGCAAGTCCTCAGGGGCTGCTGCAGGGGCCCCGTGCTGACGACCCCTTCCCTGAACTAGCAGGGCTTGCTCTGGTCCCTTAGGCAAGGCTTCCTGGAAGCCATCAATGT